CCCTCGGCCCGTCACCCGCACTCGCGGTGACCGTCCTCGGCGCGATCTCCCAGGGCCGACTTCGCCTGGCGCCCCCCTCCCTCCCGCCTCCGGCGCGCATCCCGGCCCCCGGCCCCGCGGGCGCCCCTGTCGCCGGGGTTTTGCCTGGCGGGGCTGCGCGCGCGTCGTGCCCTTCTCGGGGCTTCGGGCCCGCGGCGTCGTCGCGCGCCCGCCGCCCCGGCCTCTCCCTGGATCGCGCTCTCCCCTCTCCCTCCCTCGCGCGCCCCCTCTGCCGTTACTCGGCCCCCCCACCGGCGCGCGTGCGCAGTCCGCCTCCCTTCGGGAGAGTGCGCCACAAGGGCTCCTGCGCTCTCACCCCCATCTCCAGGCTTTGCCTCCCCCTCCTTCTCGCCCATTCCATGACTTTCTGCCCCCACTGCGAGCGACTCGGTCCACCATCTCCTTCCCCTTCTAGCAGGAACAAGTAGGTGGGAATTATTGTCCACCCACAAAAGGGACTAGACAGTGTGTTCCTGGTCCTACAACTCATCATAAAGAGGCGGTTATAGTTCCCAGCACGAACCTTAGGTAGGGGATTATGTGTCCGGGAGCACGGGAGGCTCTTCGGGGGGAGCGCGCCCCCAGGGTCTTTGGGGCGTTCCGTGGCCTCAGAATGTGAGCGCCCTCCCATCCTCCCCGCCCCCCTTCGCCGGAGATCTTCCAGTTACATAAGTGGAGTGGGACATAGTATGTAACCGGCTCCTATAGTCCTGGAGCGCGCCCTGCTCAAGATCATCATCACCAGATGGGGCAAGTTCATCGCATCGCTGTGGTTCCTGTCAATTGCCCCTGAAAGTTTATTTTCTCTTTAGTTTGGTTATAACGAATTATCCAAACTGAAACTCAGGTGACTTACGTGGGGTGGCAGTTTCTGTGGTTTTGCCCTGAACACTTCATGTCACCGTAAAGAGTCTAAAAAAATTGCTTTCACAGAGGAGACCGTTTATGACCTTGTTAAGTGGACCGGAGGATGGGAAAGCTTGCTCTGGAATACCTACCTCTGTGGTGGTCGCCTGTGTTGTGAGTGTGTTCGTTGTGGATTGGTCACAGCAGAAATGGGCTCCACCACAAAAGTGATATTCCTGACTCATGGTCAGGCAGATGTGTGCTTCTGGTTCTTTTTCCAGGAACAGGAATGGACTCTGCAGAGCCATTCACATGTTGTGTCTCTGTTGTGCGGGATCAGTACCCCAAATTGTGAGATGGTAGGATCGAATTCTCAGGGGGGTGGTTGGTGTCGGTGGAAGCAAATCTAGCAGCGCGTGATGCCAAGTGGCTTAGACTTTGGAAGACTCTCACAAGTTTTAAATGTTTTGTTATACTAGAAAAATGAAGCTTATTCGTGCCGAGATAGTAAAATTCAGTGTTCTTAATAGTCAATTATTACTTGAGAAATGTATGTAGCATGGCCAGAATTTTCATGTGGATCTTAGCGATTTCAGTTAACAACAAGATGAAGCTGACCTCTTGGGTCTTTTGAAATATGCTAGATCCCTACTTAAAATAAAAAAATGGTGTGTAGGATTCTTAGGTCTTTTAGAAATTTCTACCAGGGATTTAGGGAATACGCTTATTTATGGGCTTTTTATGACTTCTGTTTCAAATGCCAGTCAGGAAGCCCAGGAAACACTTGCTTTTTTATTTTCTTACCTGGACACAGGAGAACCTTAAGGGGCATAATCAATGTAGTAGAGTACAGTTGGTTAAATAAGTTGCCACAGATACTCATTTGTGGCAGCTTGGTGGCAGATCACTGAGGTACATTCCTATCCAGACACAGATGCACAAGCCTTACTTGACAGAGATTCTAAGGTTTGTGCATCCAAGCCTATGACATGACAGGACGAGGACTCTGCTTTGTTTTGCATCATTGGCAATGCATTTGCCTCCTCTGGTGCCCCACTAGTTACTTGTTCATCATACCTCTAGCCTTTTAAACAGGCAGCTTCCAGAATATAGTTTCTCTGAAAAGTGCCTGTTGTCATCTGAAGTCAGTATGTTCTAACAGCTTGAAGAAAGCTACAGCTTTCTTGCTATTATGGGCCTATCACACCGTCCTATTTCTTGTTATAAATGCACTTGGAATGCTTTAACCTACAGTACCAGGTCTTTATTTCACCTGATAGAGCATGATGCAGTCAAACTCGACTCTTGATTGACGTTTGTGCTGTTTACGTATTGGGAGGTTAGGATACAATTTTGTATTCTACGTGCAATTTCCAGCTGGAGTCATTGTTTCCCGTTTACCCTGCTTCTGTGTGGCCAGAGCAAGAGGGGTGGAGAACCAAACTGTGGAGCTGACAAAAAGAAACTGTGGAGTTTGGCTAGATAAGTCCAATACGATGTTGCTACCACCCGAATCCTCCTTCCCCGATGTGGGCATTGAATGAGAAGCTTGCTTCTTTAACATGAAATAGTGAAGAGCAGAAGCAAAATTGTTAGTTCCTTACTCCAGTCCAGTTTCCACCACTAATGTACCTGCCTGGGACTATTTGCATGGTAAATGATGTGTCCTGGAACCTGTAATCTTTCATAAAAGCGAATTATCAGTGGAAATCTTTTAATTGTCTAAGGGCAGTTTGTTGCCAGGCTACCCGAGTTATCTATGAGGAGGAGAGAATTGTAGAAAATCTTTGACATCTGTAGTAACTATAGTTGACCTTTGAACGATGCGGGGATTAGGCGCCCCGACCTCTCACCCCCTTGCAGTTGAAAATCCACGCGTAACTTTTGACTCCCCCCAATTTAAGTACTAATAGCCTACTGTTGACCGAAAGCCTTATTATTAACATGACTAGTAGATTAACGCATATTTTGTACATTATATGTAATATGTATTGTATTCTTACAGTAAACACAATAAGGAAGATGTTATTAAGAAAATTATAAAGACGAGAAAATACATTTACAGTACTGTATTGAAAAAAATCAGCATATAAATGGACCCGCACAATTCAAATCTGTGTTGTTCAAGGATCAACTGTAGTTTTTAAGCACATGGGGTGGAGGGGTGGAGGGAACACAGTCCTAGACTGGTGGCGAGTTCCAGGGAGTGCAGCAGGACACCTGCTTGTTTTCACCACCCTCTGCTGTGGTGACATGCATGCAGACCAGCCTCGTGTGGCTGGCAGACACAATCTTTTTTTCTTGGGTAGAGCATTATTGCTGCTTCAGTGGAAGGACCTAGTCCTCAATTCTTCTATACCAGCTTTCTCCAGTCAGATTGCTTTTGTCACCACTGTGACCACTGTGCCTTTACCTCACTTCCCGTAGGACAGATGTGAATGGGTTCTTCCTTGGGCTCACTTACACAAAACTTGTGCTCTTCTGCCGTTATCTGTTCTCTTCTGCCTTTTTCTTGCAAGGAACCTTTTCCTATTGAAGTTTTGATTTGCATGCCATTACTTAAATACCATTTTTGATGGTAGGTATGGTGTTGGGGGGAACTGAGTGGGAGTGGGAATTTGGTGGCAGGCAGGGCATCCCCACTCCCACATCAGAGGAGGGGTGGCCATTCTACTCAAGAATAAAGCCTTGACCTTTATAACTTCTTCAGGGCACACTTATGTTGGATCTGCTAGCATATGATCTGCTAGCATATGAAGGGGTCCTCACCATGGCTGTTTTTGCAGCTACTGCGGATGTCTGAACTCTAGGGAGCAAGCCTTAGGAAGGGTTCACTTGTCTTCCTTGCCTAGGATCTCAGGGGCATCATATATATGGACCTGCAAATTACTGCTTTATTGGGTTTTCACTTAACTGCTTTCATTTGCTGGCTCTTTTTTTTTTTCATGAAATCTTGAGTTAATCAAAGATCTTAAAATTTCAGAGCTGGAAGGAACCTTAGTCCTATTCCCTCAGTTTACAAGTAAAAAACAAACCGTGGCTGTGAGAAGTTGTAGCTTTGCCAGGGCCTCCCAGCCAGGATACCGGTTTGATTTTTATTATATAGCTGAGTAGTACTGTTACTTTGACTTCTGGATTTCAAAGCATTCTCTGACTCGATTATTTAAGGGAATTGTAAGGCCTCACCGCACCTGAATAGATAATTCTAGGTACCATCCTGGTAGTTATGGACCATCTGTAAAAGACTTCGTTGGTGTTGCCGTTCCTTTGGGTTTAATTACATGAGTAATGATTTGTGTGAATAGTCTCTAAATTGCATACTTTAGGCTTTTTTAGTCTAAAGGTAAAAGTGCTGCTCTTGGGCCAGCAGGCTAACCAGAGATTAGCTAATATGGGGCAGTTTAGGTTTTTTAACAAGGAAATGATGTTATCTTGATGAAAAAATGTAATGACAAAAGTCTTCTTTGAACGTATTCAAAAGCAAAAGAGAAACTATCAGACTTATAACTTAGTTTGTTGAACATTGTGATTTAACTGATCTGAGAGGCTTAAAAGTGATTGCTCTGAAACAGACTTGCATGTATTGGAGGAGGGCTTTGGATTCCCCAGGGCATTTGGTTTCTGTTGGTGCTGCTTTTTTCCCCCCTCTCTCTCAGGGTTAAAGCTCCTTTGAGTGATGTTACAGCAGCTCATCTCAAATTCAGCTGCTTGAAAAAGAAGGGAGACTTTGCCTCTGGATTTCACGTTTTCTTTTTGGGATGACATTTTGATGTCACATGTTCTCTTGAACATGTATTCTCTCCCTGAGTATTTCTGTATGACATAGTGCAGGAAATACTTACCACTAACAGTTGCTTTATAGTGTCAAAGTGTCCCTCAGAGGTGTCAAGACTTGTGATAGTGTCGATTCTAACACACATGAATCTTTATTTTAGTATTGTGTGTTACGTGCTAGTAATTTGTGGTTTATCCTTTGTTTCTATTAGGTAAGCTGGGAAATAGCATAGCACTTTGTCTATATGTTTATCTTCAAAATGTCCCAAATAGCCCTGGGAAAAAGGTCGTGCAGCACAATGGGGGCTTTCAACTTACGATTTTCTTTGTTTTAGGCTCCATAAAAATACAGACTCACCAGTTCCTGCTTTGATGTGACATGTGACTCCCCAGAATACATCTTGCTTCTGTAGACCAGCTCCAACAGGATTCCATGGTAGCTGGAATGTTAGGGCTCAGGTAAGTAACCTTCCTTTTTTTTTTTTTAGTATATGTCCTGGTTTGGCCATCTGTTTTTAAAAAAAAAAAAAGGAAAAAAAAAACAAGATGTACTACTCTTGGACAGTATAAAAGTACCCCAAAGACTAAAGATATAACTGTGCCAAACTGTGCCATATAATAAAAAAAAGTCACTTCCCTGAGCCCTGAAAGGTCAGTTTGGGTAGGGTTACTTGGTAGCCACAGCGTGATCTGGGGGCGGGCGTCAGATTAGAGCCGGAACTGGTGATCTGCAACTTCAGTTCACCTTGAAGCAGGTCAGCTGAGCTGAGAGCGCTTTGACTGAGCTCTTCACCTGCCACTGCTGCTGTTGCCTAGCGGTCTTCAGCATGGTGCTCTGTTTGCTTTGGTTTTGGGTAAATGACTTCCTGGTCAATGTTAGTGAGCAGTGGTAAGACATTTTCAGATATGGGAACTGGTGTGTGGTCCCCTAGAAGGATGGCCTCCTGAAAGCTGTCTCAGAACAGCAGAGCCCATGGCTGATGGCTGTGCTTGCTACTCTCCTCCCATGGGAAGTACAGAGAGCACCCAGACACAGATCTGACTCTAGAGCAGAATGGATGCCTTTCGAAAAGCTGAGGATCCGAGCCATATGAGGTCTGATACTCAGGTGCTCTATAAGCCACACTTTTGGCTACTTTGCTGCCATTGTGTGGACTTTAATTTTGTAAAAATGAGTGGTTCCCTAATTTCTCAACAGTCAGGCTCAATATCTCAAGCTTTTTTAAAATCAGTGGTCATTCCACATTTGATGTTTTGACACCTGGATTTCAAACATTTCATGTGGTAAGGCGGAACATACTCCTTGAATTTTCTCAGTCCTCTTCCTAAGAAAAAATGTGAGTTGACACTTATGCTGCCATTGCGATTCCAGCGGAGACCCCCAAGTAGCACTTTGTTGTGTCTCTCTGGTGGTTCCTGACACCTCGGTCTAAAGCTTTGTGGACATCCATGACATAGCCTGTTAGGGGACTATGTGAGGGGCAGGGTTTGGGGAAAGGAGAAGAGAAGGTGTGGAAGGAAGTGAAGAGCACTGCACTGCCTCCGAGTCCCAAATTTGGTTCCAGTCCTGATCCTGTGACTCAAATTGTCATTTCTCCTTTATTGCTGCGGGGTGTACTCTGGGCCCTGCTGACAGGACGTTCTTTGTACACCACGTATTTATGCTGGTGGGAGTTGTGTGGCTGGTGCTTTGTGCATTGTCTCAGAAATTGTGTGGACTAAATGTAATATGGCTAGTGAATGGGTTTCTTCTGGTAGATGTTAGGCCTGGGGGTGGTTTATGTTTTTAATAGTCTTTTTCTCAGATTATGAATGGATTTTATAAAACAGGCAGTGGTCACTCTACATAGTTTCTTCTAAGAAAATGTAGAAAGGAAGAGATGTTTAAAAACGTATCTATTACTTATGAGTGGAAAAGACCCAGCCATTTGAACTTCAAGGAGCATTGAGGGGAATTCTCCAAGGACAGGACCTGTCTTTAGTAAATAAGTGTTGGATATCTTACTCTTCTTTTTTTAAGGAATTATAAAAATAAAAATAATGCATGCTTTTATAGAAAACAAACCATTTTAAAGTATACCATGTAAAAAGGTGAAAGCTCCCCATTACTCTCTGTCCTCACTGCCCACCCAGAGCAACCACTATTAATGTAGATACTTCTGAATCTTCTCAGACTATACAAATACGCATTTTTTGTGTTTTTAACAAACCAAGGATGGTATTACACATAATCTGCATCTGTCCATGTCATGTGTTTTTCTCTGCCTCATTTCTGTTAAACGGGCAATGTGATCTGGTGCTGACTTATTGTCATGCATTGTCCCCCTATTGGCTTTCCCAGTGGTTCACTATTAAAAGATGCTACTGGATTGAATTTCCTCACGTGCCAGTCTTTTTGAAGAACAGCTGTCTAAACCTGGAATTGCTGATGGGTACCACCACATCGCCTTCCAAAATGTTTCAGTTCCCATGACAGTCTGAGAAAGTGGCACTTCCCATACCCTCCAGAATTGGATGCCCATCTTTTCAATTTGTGCTCCTTGGGTTATTACTGAGGCTGGACCTCAGTAATCATCAGCCGTTTGTATTTGGTCTTTGTGAATTGCTTGCCTGTTGATGTCCTGCATTCATTCTTCCATCAGGATATTTTTTAAGTTGATTTGTAAGAACTTATAATGTATTAAGGATATTCTTTGTCATCATGCAGATGTTTTTCCTACCTCATCATAAAATTTTGATTCTGCCTCTCTTTTTGATGTATGAGACTTCTGTTATTATTTTTTTCTTTGGCTTTTATACTTAGAAAGTCCTTTCCTACTTTAAGAACATGTTAATATTCATCTATATGTTTTTGTTCCTAAAAAAAACTTGATGTACTATATTGATATATACAAAAGAATCTTATAGGTAAGTTGTCCTGTGTTTTTCATATGGTTATAATGCCTGTTTTTGTATTGAACTTTGAGTAGGGATGAGGTCTAGAGCCCATTTAGCCAGTTGTGTCATAGCCATTTGGTGATTCAGTCATCTGGTCTTCACCTTTATCATAATGTTGACTTCAAGTAAGCAAAGCATCTCTTCTTTTTTCTTTCTGAAGTTTTTCTTTGTGAGACTTGATGGCAAGCTGGTCAGCATATAACCATCTCTTCATTCACCCAACAAGTCCTTGAGCCCCTGATTCAAGGCAGGGCCAATGTTGGGCCCTGCAAGTGCTGCCTTCTCCTTGACTTGGGGCAGGGCTACAGAGGTTGCAGTGCCTGTAGCTACAGTGCTCATTCCAGAAGACTCAAGAAAATAGTGGATCTTCACAAAGTAGGTTTTGGATAAACTAGGAGGAATCCAGAGGGGTGTGTGTGTGTGTGTGTGTGTGTGTGTGTTAAATTCTAACACAGAAGTGAGAGCTTAGGGTAGACTGCAACATAAGCATCGTTTGTTTCCTAACTCATGTAATTGCAAGCTGATTTTTGTCTTGAATTATGATGAGGGCTTTTTGCTGTTAAAACAGTTCTATATTCAGCTAGCTCAGTTGTGATGGAATAAAAGTTGTGTACTGATAAAAATGGTAATTTACTTCTATGATGATTTTGAAGCATTTCTATAATAGCTCATAAAAATAAAGACAGGCTTTTGGTGATTATATTCTGAGGGAAAAAGTAATTTTTTGCAACTTGCATCATTTAAATCTAATAAATAACCTTAAAACTGAAGTGGAATCCTGATTTGAATCGAAAAATATTTTTTACTTAGAGAAGGGATATAAATGACTTATGATTAAGGAAAAACCTTCTTGTATAAGGCTGGGGTTTTTAAAATGAATTTTTAAAAATAGGTATATAGTACAGAATGAAAAAGGTTGTATAAGAGGTTATATGGTTAAAGAGCTCCTTGCCACCTTGTCCCCAAATATCCATTTCTCTCTCATTACCAGTTTCTTACTAATCTAGGTGTGTGTGTATGATGTGTGTGTGTGTGTATGTACATGTGCCTGTGTGTAATTTTTTAAATTGTGGTAAAATATACATAACATAAAATTAGCATTTTATCCATTTTTAAATGTATACTTTTGTGACATTAAGGGCATTCTTGTGCAACTGTCTCCATTATGTGTTTCCATAACCCTTTTCATCTTGCAAAACTGGAACCATCTCCACTAAACCCTAACTCCCTATTCCCCCTCCCCCAGCCCCTGGCAACTACTCTTCTCCTTTCTATTTCTATGAAATTAACTATTCTTAAAAAAAAAGGAAAAAAGAAATTGTTCTAGATACCTCATATTATCTATTTTAGAATTGTGTTTATATATTTTGTGTGCAGATATACATACAAACAAGGGTGTGTGTTTTGACACAAATGGTAAAATACCACGTACATTTCCAAAATGTGCTGTTTTTAGTTAATGTATCTTGGAGATTGATATCAGTTTCTGTAGAGCTAATACCATTCTTTTAAGGGTTTAGAAGAGATTTCTAGACGTGGGACTTGCCTGGGTCAAAGTGTATCTGCATTTTAAACTTAGATATTGCTAAATCAAAGGTGGCCTTTTAATTGCATAGTTTTAAAGAAAAGACTATGTATGAGTAGGTGAGCACAAAAATTTATGGCTGTGGTGCTATTTGTAGAGACTAGAGAGCCATTAATTAGGCTAGGAAGAAATAATTTTTAGCAGTTAGCATTAGAGACAAAACTTCAGAAGCTTCCATTTCATCAGATGTGACCTCATGTGAGCAGAGCCTGTGAGGCAGGACCCTTTACTTGACAAGGAGAACTTCAGCCAGTTCTGATCTGTGAACTTTGAAGAAAATGGAGCATTTTTATTTTGGTACTAAGTTGCACTGGCTCCTTGGGACTCAGAGTTGAAGAGTCTCCTGAAGCTGCTGGACCTTCTATCTTATTTGCATTTTAATATGCTTTTTAAAAGATGTTATTTATTTATCTATGAGAGGCATGGAAAGAGAGGCAGAGACATATGCAGAGGGAGATGCAGAACTCGATCCCAGAACCCTGGGACCACGCCCTGAGCTGAAGTCAGATGCTCAACCGCTGAGCCACCCAGACTTCTCTGTATTGTAATATGCTTAAGGAATATCCTGGAAGTATTTGGGACCAGATTGCTGTTGCTTCATTTCTCTTTGATTCTTGTCCTCTTGATAGAGCAATACTTCCATTAATTTACCATATACCAATTGAGTGTATATTCTGTGTCATTTACTGTACTAGATGCTACAAATTCCCCTCAGCTATCTTCAGGCATAAAGGAAGATACAGATAGGCAAACAGACTGTTACTTTACAAGGGGCCAAATGTTATGATGGAAGAGTACCGACCACTGAAGGTGCACATAAATGTTAGAGGGGTCCCATCTAGACTTGGTAGTGAGGTCAGGGAAGAGACTTCTTTGAAAAGTGATCTCCAGGACTTGAACGATAGGGCAACATTAGCTAGTCCAGGAGAAGATATGA